AAATAATCCACCTGAGTCATCCAGTTATTTTTCACTTGATACACATTCTTGATTGATTGGGGGTTAATTTTTAATTATATTATTTCTTTCTTCATAACACCATTGAGTTTGGTTTCATATTTATTTTTGATCTCAAGGCTGTTTTGTGGTTAAAAGAAACTTTGTTACACCTTCTCTATTTCTCTCAGATCATTGTGCAAATGTAGTCAAGCAGGTAGCTTTCCATAGCATTGACCAAACTTGAAAAGTGTGGGGGGGCACAACCAATATGTTACCACTGAATAACAGCCAATCATGCAAGCAAAGATTCACAGTTATACTCCAGGAGAAACATTTCTATGTTTTATCAACATATAACCTATTGAAAACTTCCAAGGGCTGAACTAATCATAACACTAAAGGCTCAACCGTGTTTCTCGGCAAAACTGGATTAAACCCTTAAGCCCTGCATTTTTTTGGCCAAAACTACCTAACCTTAGGTCCCCGTGCAACAACAACTCCAGATCAAGATGATTGCAGAAAGCTGCCACAATCCTCAACCACCCTCGAGTCTACCCCTTGATCACCATCTTGACTCCTGCCCATCATTTCGCATCTTGGAATCATCATGAATCATCATCATCATACAGTCATTCTCGCCTGATCAAATCTGTTTCTCCATTGCCAAACGAAACAAAACTCATCTAGATGAATATCTACCTGATCCAATCCTTTCTAGACCTCTAGGACTTTGGAGGTTATGTAATCCACCTTCCCAACCCTCGATCCCAACTCTTGACCTCCAAGATTTCTCAAGCCCCAATTAAACCTGAATCAGATCAAATCAATCCAAATGAAGCTCTCTTAACTGATACAGAAAACTATTCAGTCATTGAACCACAAAAAGATGATGGTATTTGGTTATACATCACGTCTGATGAATCTTAAGCTAATCAGGGAGTTTCAGATGCACAAACCACGGTTTCAGTAATCGGTGGCAAGCCTTGGTTAGATCAAATGGATTGAATGAATTATATCAACAAACTGATCCTAAATATCAAGAATGTCCAATCACCACTCTTCAATCTCCAGTAACCGATGCTTTGGCTCAGAAGGCTTCCAGTAGTAACGGTGTTGGTTTCATCTCTTGATTGAAAAGAGTTACTGGATCAGTTGGTACTAATGATCAAACCAAGTTTTCAAACCAGGTATTGTTTGAGGTTTGGTAGGACTCAGTGTTATAAGTAATACGCGCTGTAAGTCTTGATACTTTGTTCTTCCCTACCTTCCTATTGCATTTACTCATCTATTTGCTTATGGTTTTATGAACTTTAGCACCCGATTCATCTATTGTATTTAGAGAATAATTATATGATCGCAGTCATGCATTAATAAAGAAAGCACAATAAACAAACCATGAAAACAATCAGGGATCATGTTTGAAAAGCATGACAAGTGCAATCAAAAACACAATATATCACAACAAAGAAAGTTTGATTGCACACACTTTAAGCAATGCATCAAAAAAAACTTCATTGTGTGCTACACACGAGGTGAGAGAAGCACAGATGTGCACTAAGAAAGGAAGCATATGTGATTGCATTCTTCACCTAAAATATAAAAAGCACAAAAGCACAATGACCAATTATTAAATTCAAAAAGCATGAAAAGTGCTGTGATGCAAAAGGACCGGGAGGCTGGAGCACAAGAAGATTGAGCGGTCCTTCATGCGAGTCGATTCGACGTATTTATATTTTAGATTCAGATCGATTGTTGGAAGGTTTGATTCATTGTTTTAGGTTATGGTCAACAAGATTCACAAGAACTCATAACGTTTGTGTTAGATACTTTACATGAAGATCTTAATAGAGTTCTTAAGATAGATGAGATATCTGGTTTTAGCAATGGTCACAGTCATTTACAATTGATTAAATTGGCTGCAATTTGGAAGGAATGATAGTATGATCGTAGATGTCTTTCAAGGACAGTACAAAAGTACCTTAGTATGTCCTGATCGTGATAAAGACCCTCCATGTCTTCTTCTTTCCCATTTCTTTTTGATTCTGATCAATCATTGCTTTTTGTCTGTTTCTCTAGGTCGCCATCAAGTTGAATAAGATCAAGTATCTGACTCTACAACTTCCTCTTAACAAGAAATAGAAAGGAACAGCCTTCTTCATCCCTCTCGACCATACAAAACCTTGTCTCTAGGTTATGTATGAGCTAACAAAGAATTCTACTATCCGACAAGTCATGCAACACATTGGAAAGAAAATTTTGAAAACCTTTCAATCACTTTTGACTGTATTGATTGTGGGTTTCCGTCCTTTGGCTCAATCCAATCATATACATGTTTTGATTGATAGGATCTGAAGAGCATATCCGGATCATCTTCAATTTTGTTACAATCTTTCACAGTGACTGATTCATCCACTGTACTGTTCAAATCACAGGCCTTTCCAACACTGTACCAGAGGTGGTTATTTGGTACCCTTATCGGCAAGTGACCCCAATTCATAGAAATTGTATCACACCATTTTTAATGAAGCCGGTTGCCGAGTCGCCACTTAGTACCTCTCTGCCCTTGATGGACAACTTACATGTCATCAGACATCCATTTTGGACCAATTTTGGATCAAAGATCCATTTATAGATTGATTTACCTGATTGAATTGGATTTTTGGGAAGAGCTTTTCTAGAATCAACTCATCCATCCCCATGTACCACATGACAAGCACAAATAGCTTAGAAGCTTTATCATTAGACTATGTAGATAGTCATCACCAGCTCGATTTCGATTCTAGACCTTATTTGCAAATAATCATACATATCATCCGCCGAGTTGAATATGAGCAACATAGAACAACATGCGTGAAGTGCTCAAACTCTTGAACCATACGAATTTTGATCAAATCTCTCTTTGTTATGCAGAGCTCAGTCTCAAAGTTTACTAAGGATCTTGGGTACGGGTTTTTTCAAAGCTCTCTGCATTTTTATTTTATACAACTTTGTTTACTAAACTCAACAAATCATTTTAGATGAATTGCGCCAAACATCAAGGTCATGCATAAGTGAATTTGAAACAAATCTTCACATTCAAACCTACATGCTTTAATCTCATTTCCTTGCCTTTTGCTATATTGGAACCAGTAATCTGCTACAAATCAATCAAACTGCCCCTTTTGCAACCTTTCAAATCAAAGCAAACCATGCCTCAATCAAAACAAAGTTGGGTTGCTTTTACTCAGAAGAATCAATATCTATTCATTGTAAATCACAGCGGCTTCTAAACTCAAACAACATCTGTCTGTGTCATTGCTGAGACTTTACCAACATCACTTGAACTGTCTTCAACAATCAATCTTCTACCAAGATGTAAATCTAAAATCATTTCAGTGATATAACATCAGTGAAGGCTCGATAAAAGAATACAACTGTACTTGGACAAGACCATATGAGAAGAAAATCATCAATTGCGCTTGGAATTTATTATTGCATTATTCAGGATCAATGAAAATGGGATTGAATACATAATCCATCAATTCATCAAATCACAATAAAATGAACCTAACCTACACTTGGTTGAGACTTATCTAATTTGCTATAATAGTGATTTTTCTCATCTTTGTCATGTCAGTCATTGCTTCAATCTTTCTTGAAAATGGTGGACTTGATTTTCAAAAAGGCTATTTCTGATGTTATCATGTTCTAAAAATCTTGGGCACTGTCATCAAACAATTGAATGATGGAGTAAGAATAATAACTGCTCAATTTCATCTAGCTAATCTGAAAATACAGTCAATCTCACAAATCTCAACAATAATTCCAAGCAAAAGTTGAATTCTGCGGGCAAACCCTGGTGAAACTTTCTGAAAATGAGTGTAAATGAAGTTAAACCTGCAATTGATTTAAAAATTTCAAAATTTTAAATTAGAATTAAGCACTTATCAAGAACAAGGCTTGAATTGGTTATTAAATATGGAAACTTGTTTTGAACAAACGAATTCTATACATCCACTTTGGAATCAGTTTAGTGATCTTCTTTGTAACTTTTTTCTACTGTGTTGAGTTTTTTCCTTTCTAAAGATATATTTTTCCAAAGGAAGAATGTATCACTGAATCTTATGAACCACTTGAACCATTTTGTAAGCTTGATCTTTTCTTTTTGTTCTTTGTGATGATATTGGATACTAATCTTAAGTTGACCTGATTTATTTATTTATTTCTTTAGAAAACAGTTTATAATCCATATACAGAATGTTTCACCCTACAATTTCCACATGGCGCATGTAAATCTGGAGGAGGAATTTTGGGGGATGAGATAAGTTTTTTTACAACCTGACATATATGTTTGGTTGACTGATTTAATCCACATGGCTTTTGGTCTAGATGGGATTAGGAAGAACAATCCAAATGGTGTCATTGATTTGTGCAGCTAGACCTGTCAACTGTGAGAAGTCCTGCAGAGCAGAACCGCCGTCGTATTGACAGGTATCCATAACAAATTCCTTACTACATATATTATATATAAATAAAATACATAAGAAGAATATATATTTGAATTTAACTCTACACCTCTCTCACTTGAGTATCAAGCGTGTAAAAACAATGAATTTACATTGTGATCAATTAAGAACAAGATTGTAGAAATTAACTGAAAACATAGTTACCATCTCATCCCAACTAGCCAAGAAAGGATGAGGAATAAGAAACCCTGAAATAGGCCAGATGAATTGAAGCAACAAACAACTAGCCCTTATCAAAACACTTAAAATTCAAGAAACTCAATTTTATTACTTCCTTTTTTGCATTGTAGTTAAATGACATTGAATCATTTCCAATGAAG